CGTAACTCCTGCTTAGTAAATGATTGACTTCTTCATGTGCTGAATAGATGTCAAGTCCTCGTTTCACAGCTGGAGACTTTAATATTTAGTAAACAGGAGGACAGGTTACACCCAGTGGATGCTTTATTAGAGTCCTTGCTGTCTTAATTCTTTGTGAAACAGGCTGAACAAGGTGTGTGTAACAGAGACTTTGGTCCATATTAACATCATAGCCTCACGCAGTTGCTACACATTTATCATGATCTAAATCTCCCATTTCATCACATCCCCCAAAAAATAAATGAGTAAAATTTGAATTACAAGTTTGCAGCTCTCAGTATATTTAGATATCAATCTAAACATTTGTGAATGTTTTTCTGTAACTGTAAATTTAAAACACAAATGTGTGAAGATGAAAACTGAAAGTGAAATTTTAAAAATAAAGTTCATTTTTTCCCCACATTCTCACATTTACAACATTTTTACCTTCACAAAGGTCCTCTAGTGGATCTAGATTTCTGTTTAAAAGACACTATAAGTGCATAAAAGTATTGCCAGGAATAATAAAAATCATGGCACTGCATCTGGCTATCTTGAAAATTAAATATTCATCGCAAGTAAATTATTTAGAGAAAAAATATTAATGGCTTTTTCAGGCAGAGGTTTGATTGTGACACTCTGTGACAGTATTTAGCTCCGTATTTGTAGCATATATGAGAAAACGAGGTCACTTCTGTTTGTAAGAGAACTGCAGGTTGTGACATCAACTCAAACAGACATGGAAAGTCGCAGCATCACCTTAAACAACAATGGTATGTTGTGTCATCACGTTAAAGACGCAGCTCATAGCTTCACCTCGAAACACGGCGGCAGGTTGTGGCATCACCCTAAAGAGCAATGGGATCATCCCCAAACGTAATGGTACCAATTTAAACACCCGTGGTATCATCTACAAATGCAGCGGCATAACCTCCACATGCATCACCCACAAAATGTCGAGGATGTCATATCCACAGTCAGCAACGCCAATCGATGTCACCCCCAAACACCGAGGCAAACACCGAGGTAAACACCGAGGCATGTTGTAGCATTTGAAGGCCCCATCTCAAGTCACAGCTCAGTGTTCATTATGATCTCGACACACCCTTTCCAAAGAAATTCGACTGCACAATAATCAGTTTTGATTGACCACTATTATGCTTCCACATCACAAACAAAATCTGCCCTTTGTTCATGTTTTACCACATCATGGAAAATACCTTTAGATGGGTTATGATTCAAAGCACTGCTGTATTCCTTACGGTGTATGTTTGGGTCGTTATAAAGGAAATTTCATGCCAAACATTTTTTGATGTTTCTTTTTGTTGGTTCTTTCTTTCTTCTTGTGGATTAACTTTAAACTGGACAGCTGCTTGATCTGAGGTGTGGATCAAGAAGCTTCATAAACCTGTATGGTCCTGTCTTTGTTCATGATTAACTATGAGTCACACTGATAATCAGAATTTGGCTGACTCACATCTACAATGACAACATTTACATAGCTCAGATCCTTCATTGATTGGTTGTAGTACAATAGCACAATATATATGGACCCTAGACCAGTAGGGTCCACTAAAGACAATGAATCTGGGACGGTCTGAATAACATCAATCCAAAGCCTTACACATAACAGTATATCTGCTCACTGAGCCAGATTTATTGACCTGGTGATATGGATGTTGACACACACAGAGGAAGTAAGAGACTAGGGAAATAATCTGAGATATGTCTTTCATTTCACAAGTGAAGGGAAATGTGTTTTGTTCCAGCTTCCTCAATTACAGCTGTAGCACCGCCCACTAACACACATTGAAGCAACTGTAACTGTCCTGGAGGGTGGACTCATTTCTTCTGAGACATTTGCAGGGTTTCTTCTATTTCTCTTAGAGGGACTTTCAAAGAGGAGATATTTTTCTTTGTCAACTCAGATGTTCAGGTTTATTTTGATTCTCTTAGCTTTTTGATTCCCATTGTTAGATGTGGTGTGCAAACATTTACTTTAAGGTAAGAAACTGTTCTTATTCAGTTGTTTTTGTCAGTCTGTGTTTAATATTTGTCAGAGAAATGTTTAAATCCTTTTCTAGTTTAATGGATAAAACTGAGAGCTCTCTAAAACGGCTTTTTTCCTCCTAATAGTTTTCCTAGAGAGATCCACATACACCTCATGCTTGTCACGGTCCTGGGTCGGTTCGACCCAGTTTCTTATGTTTTAGTTTATTTTTGCATTATGGATCATTTCTTATTCTCTGGTGATACTGATTTGATTATAATTATGTTCTGTTCCTTTAGCTATCCGATGATGATGATTATTTCTGGTTTAGGTCTTGCTATCGTGCCCTCATCTTTAGTTTAGGTTGCCTGTGCTTAGTCTTCTCTGCCCGTATGTCCCTCTGTCTGTCCATGGTGTCTTGTCTGGTCCTCTGTGTCTGTTAGTTTCCTGTTTTATTCTGAAGGTCCTTGTCTTATGTGAGTGTGTTCAGGTTACGTTTCCCCTGCCTCGTCAGTAGTGATTCCGCTCCTGTCTCTCGTCCCTTGATTACTGCCTCAGTGTATTTAAGCCCAGTGTGTCTTTGTGTCAGTGTCGCGTCGTTAACGTCTGTTCATCCTCTTACCCCCTCTGTGTGTTCTGTTTGCCTGCCTGCTATTTTATTTGCATTCCAGTCTAGTTAGTTCTTTGTTCAGTCTGCTTTTCCTCCATAAAGCTGAGGGTTTTGAGTTCACCTGTGCCTCCGTGAGTCCTGCTCTTGGGTCCACCTTTTTGCCTGCCTTCACACAGCCGAAACATGACAATGCTGGCTCTGTCCACCAAAACTACATTTGTAATCAAACAGTAGTTAAAAGGTGAAAAAGTTTTAACCTAACATTTATGTCCAGCAATGTGTCGGCTGCTCAATACTTGCAAATCTATGAATGACAATGAAATTATGCTCTCAAGCATCTTTAAAGCAAACATTTTCAGTGTAATCTGCCACTAGAAGTCTACATGCTGGAAGTATATGAATACTTGCAGAAGTAAATAAATATTTAGAGTGCCAATGGATGACCTGGTATCACTGTGATATTTATTTGACAGATGTGGATGTGGATTGTGATTAGTCTTAACATCATCTCAAAGCTGCATGGGTATTCAGGGGGTTACTTCCCAGAAGCATGTGACTCAATGTTACCCGATCATAATGGTGCAGCTCCTCAAAACACAAAACCCCCCTACATGGTTGAATATGTGCCCAGCAGCTATCCTGGAGAGCCTGTTACAGGTACAGGGAACGCTGTAGTTTTTATTTTGTTAAATTTGTTTATCACAGCAATGTCTGGTGTAATTGTAATTTTTTTTTACAAGCTATTACAATTTCTCTTCATTCTCTTTTTCCCAAATCTTTGCTTGGATGAATTTTTGAAACAATTTTCAAGTTTTGCTCAAGAGCGAGGAATCCACATATTTTAGAGGGTTTATGTTAGAGGCTCGAGAGGTTGCAGATGAAACACGTCTTACTGGAAGATTTGTTCTACTTGAGCCTGACAAGACTCAGCTCCTGACATGCGGTGTTTTGGAAGTAAGTAGTTGGAATTTGATTTACTGTTTTCATTTTTTGCAAATCTGAAGCTCTGTTATGTTTTGCCACTCTTCTCAGGATTCAGCTGTTAGTCAAAAAAATAATCTCAAAAAAACTTTGATCCGGGTTAACTGGACTGCGACAGAAGCAGAGCAGGACATCATGTTCAGGTGACTTTAAAATTTCTGATATTCTATGGCTGACGTCCACGGTGAAAACGAACCTGACCTGCTCCAGATTTCTGTAATATTGCCATGCAACAGAAAATGAATTATATCAGCATTCATTCCCTTCTAACATATTTCAGAGCAACATTTCTTCTTAAAAAGGTACAATTCTGGGAAAAAGTGAATATCATCTTACCTCAGCGCACTACTACTACAACTACTACACCAGAAACATCTACTACACTGGAAACATCTACTACACCGCAAACATCTACTACACTGGAAACATCTACTACACCGGAAACATCTACTACACCAGAAACATCTACTACACCGCAAACATCTACTACACCAGAAACATCTACTACACCGGAAACAACTACTACACCAGAAACATCTACTACACTGCAAACATCTACTACACCAGAAACATCTACTACACCGGAAACAACTACTACACCAAGCACCACAAAGTACAACACCAACATAGAAGAAGTAAGAACCCACAGGTGGATTTGATTTTGTAACACTGTGCACAAAGTGACTCATTAACCTTGCAAGAGCTTTTTTTGACAACACTGCTCCCTGTTTCTGATTTACTTTCAGCGAGCAGGTATTGCACTGATGTGTTTTGAT